TCTGACACAATAATAAGGACCCAAACTGGTTTGCTATTGTCCCCAAATTAGATTTTTCACTATATCGTAGACCTTGACGGGTAGCGTGACATGTCAATGGGAGACCTTTTAGTACTTCAGAATTTTTCTTATGGGTCCGATGTAACAATGAAATTTCCGCAGAGGCACTTTCCGATATAGGAATAAACTGTCTCACATGTAATGCGCTGCTTACTCTACATTGCTTGAGCCCAACTACACGAACATTAACGATCGATCACCGGATATCACGAATGCGCAAACTCAAGTTCACAGTCAGAGGTCAATAGTCTGGTTAGAAAGCCTTTCATATGCTTCGATTACTTGAACAAATAACTGACGTCGTCAGATCACCCTCACCGTTGTCATTATCATCAACATACAGTGAGTGAAACTGCAGTAATCGCTGTTAAACTGAAAATATGCATAGAATGCGAATGCTTAAGGTGGAAGGGGAGTGTAATTATTTTAAAATATTTGAAAAGAAACTAAAACTTCATGGTCGAAAAGAGTACATATTCGTACATTACATAGACCCTGTTTCTGAAGCATTTTGTCAAGATTTGAAATGATAAGAATACCACTGTTGTTGTCCCACTACCACGGCCATTCAATGTCTCCAATCAACCAGAAGGTGAGGGCCCTTTACTCTACCTAACCTCTCCAGGCACCTCTTCAGGCCTAGTCTTAACATCACTCGTCGCTTTCTGCTCGTGTCTCTTTTGGTGTACATACGACGATATTCAGCATGGAATCGATGTAAACTGTAAGCACAGTGATTGTAGTAGATCAATGGAACATTCTCGCGGAAAAAGGGAACCGAATAAGGCGTACGATCATCTGAGTTGTTGTTTACATAAAAAAATAGCGACCGTTGGAGAAGGTAATATGCGTTTGCATTTCGATAGATGCGTCCTCTAGCCCGAAAATCGCCGACAACACGGGACCCGATTTGCAGGTGCGTTGTCATGATGCAGCAAGGCTTTTGTCAGCTGTCCTGCTATCATTCATGCATCCTCCTCCGCCATCACTTGTACAGAAGCAATGTTGTTCGATGTGGTGGCCTCCACAGTTCAACCAAACCGTGTCTCATCATCCAGGGCCCACCTGCCAGGCTTGAGCTCCGCAAACCACTCAAACAGGGCGTTTTGAAGGTGCGTCATCATCAAAGGCAACTCGAACACGATCAACTCCCTGCTGCTGCTTTAAACCACATCTGTGGTCGTAGAAATTATTCGCCCTCCAGTGACTGCGTTCCATTCTTACAGTCCGAGTATAGCGATCCTTGTGACTTGTTAGCTGTGCTCGGTTGTTGATATTTGGTTCTGAGTTGCAATTACTAAACAATATGCACAACAGAATACTTTTGATTTCTCGCTGCCCGGCCATCTGCACCTCATACGTGTACTGCGTATCAGGAAATTTTGTGTTCATCAGTCTCATACAGCAGGACAATGGTGAATTCTACGAGGAGATCAATCAGCGAAGCCGGATAGTTGTTTTGCAGCCAATGTTCTGTTAATTTAATGTTTTGAACGGGCCAACTCTAGTTCAATTATAAGGCATAGTATTCTACAGATACCCAGACACCTATGCGGTATTTGGTCTGTTTATTTAAAAGTCGAAATACCACGTTGTCAGAGATATTCAAGGCTGGATTAGATTGGTATGTGGGCTGATAGGTCAGTAGATTAAGATGTTACTCGCGGTTCGGTTTTTCGTAGTTTATGAGTGAAGTCAGTTTAAATACACGTCGTAAGCTGAGGGCTGTATTAGAACGTATGTTAATGGTTAGAGACCGTGAAACTTAATTAGCTGTATACGGCAGTATGCAAAATAGTTTTTGTTGGGTTAAGTTGGCATTCTGACATCTGGGCGACCTAGGAAACCGCTTAATGGTACATGTCAATCAAAAGCCAGAGGTTTCGATGGAGCATGGACATTCACTTGCAATTAACCGTAAACCTGCCCAATCCGATGAGCTCTAACTGCACACTGCTTCGTTTTTTTTCGGATATGCATATATAGATCGGAAGCGTTTGTTCCTGTCTGAAGCACATCAACTATGCATAAGCTCTGCTTCTAATCAATGCAGGTGGGTTTGGATACGTGCAAAGATTGTCATGTATGACGAATGAGGCCATTTGGACACATCAATAACGACCCCGCAGTCCGAATCAGACACCCCGGCGATGCGGTGAGAACAACACGTGCTAAGACGCGACTGCGGTGCATAAAATTCCAAGCCTAAGCAGATGAGAGAATAGCACGCTTTTTGTGTTGTGCATGAATGTGTACCGTGTTTTGCAAAGCCTGTGCCTCAATTCACAACTCGACATGCCCCCAGACATGTGAAGCGCGTCACCGATACAGACGGAACGAAGGCGGAAAAGCGTGTTTGGAAATCTGGTGTTACGGGCGTTGTAGATCGCTGGGCAAAACACACATATACATACATACATACGGAGAGAGAGAGAGGAAAATGTGCAGTTTTGACCACAAATGTGTAGGCAAGCATTTGCGAATGGACCTGAGGCGTGGGCAAAATTATTGCTTTGATTGGTCAATTTAGATGGTGTGTGTGCGCGCACGCTCGCGCAGTTCGACATACAGGCCACAATGGTTTGAACAACTATTAAATCTGTGCAAGACCGTTGACCAAAAGTGAACAAAGTGGAACCGGTTGTGTATGCACAAATAATGACACAATCAACGAACACACCTGAACTAAACTGGGAGAAACCTATTTACTCAGAAAACTCCAAAAATCATCGTTCTCGAGTGAAACATGACGAATACCTTCAAGTGCTCATCAGATTGACTCACTCTCTTGCAGTAGCCGACCGAAGTTGAGCAAAGCATACGGTGATTGTGAAAGAGTATTAAACCAGTTGTGAGATGGGTGTGACAGATCGTGACTTTTATCAAATTCTACACCAAGAGAACAGGAATGAAAATAGTATACTCCAGAAACTAAGTCCTACCTTGTGAATCTCGTGGTGTTTTTTTTTACTCCACAACGTTTGGTCAGACAAAGACGATAACGAGTACAGTTCAGTCAAGCAAAATCCCGTAAGTTTGACATTTGGGAAGCAAACTGAATTTTAGAAAAAAAGTTCCATTTGCACTTCATACTGAATTTGAAGAGCACCCAAAAAATAAAGTCTTTGTCCAGAGGACGAAGGAAAATCTACGCGCCTGAGAGCAATTCGAGATAAATCCGCGACTTGATGGAACGAAATTATGGAACAAAAGTTGCATTAACTTTCCCCTTTCCGTAACCGGCTTTGAGCGAAAGCTTTTGGAAAACCTGGCTAGTTCAAAAAGCGGAGGTGAAACATAGTGATCATTTACCTCCTAAAAAATCGGAAACTTGATACCCAAAAGGCAATTAATCATTTTAACTGAGGGAAATAGAAAATAATTACGCACTATCAATGGCAGTAGTTCCACAAAACAGTATGGAAAAACATGAAGCACACAATGGTTATTTTTATCACCAGGCAAGACGGGATTGTACTCACCAGAAAAGCGTGGTGACAGGCCACAAGCCATTCACTACTGGCTCGAACCATCACGTCCCGTTCCTCCCAATAGCCCGATTGACTGTGATCCAGCAAATGTTGTTTGCTCATCATTTTGATCGCGTAGACACGACGCGTGCGTTTGTGACGTGCCAGTTCCACTCGACCGAATCCGCCTTGTCCGATTACTTTGATCAGCTCAAAATCTGTGTACTTTGTGCGTCTGGCTTCGATGAGCTGAGCCACTGGGCCATATCTGATAGAATAAAAGGCATAAGGCGAACATACTTTGTACGCCTAGTTTACAGCTAGTATGAAAACCCGCAACCTGGTATAGTTCAATAGAGCAATGTAGAGATTAGATAAGGTAAAAAAACAACAGAAAGTGCACACGCAGAAACAGGCAATTTAAAACTAATCAAGCGAACGAGAACAGTATCACCTCTTGTACGTTACTGGGGTGTTTTTGACCACACGAGTAGCAGTAACAAGCGCTTTCATTCAAATTCCCCGCAGTCTGCTTACTACCAGAGAATATGATTGATGGCTGAACAAAATCCACTGTTACCAAATTATCCCATATATACTAGGGTCTAGAATACCGGACAGAAAACGATTAATGAAAGTTGACTACAGATAGTAAGAAGCATATTTTCAACGCACTTAACTGAAGTTGGGGATAGATCAAAAACGGCTGAGTAGAAATGATTACCCCTGTCTGTTTGAAGACAAAATTTACTTGATTTAAAATTCGTTTAACAATGTTGGGTACAGGATTAGAAGAAACTAACTTGAAGTTGGGTGTCTGTTCGTTATCTTTCGCTTGAATTTGTTGTCAACATTCTAATCTTGATCCTGCTGTTTTATCCAAATGGGGGCACCAAAAGACGGAAACCAAAACCGGCGCGCACGAAAATGCATGGTTAATGGTTGTACAAGCTGAACTGAACTGAATTGTTTGTTCGGAGAATCAGAAACGGCCCATTTACCCTTGAAATCAGATCGGTATCATTCTATATGGCAATAACACAAGTTAAGTTTTATTGCCAGCTACTTCTATGTAAAGTTTGAAAATTGCGAATACGGAATAAACGATCACTTTCTGTAATCTGTATAACATCCAAAATGCACCTACCTAGCGGCTAACACATATTTGGGGTTGATTAACTAATATTATATTTTTTAAATGTGGAATACTTCAGCATTTTAATTAGTTGATCATTACTGACAGGAACCAATCAGAATATTGGGCTGAAAACAAGCTGGAGATAGGGTAAAATGAATCCTACAAATAAATACACTGGACATAAATAAACAAATGCAATACAACCAATATTATCTGACTGTGACGCTTAATAAGGAAAACACACTTCGCAATCGTTAAACGAATGTACACATCAAATCCCGCATAAGAGCGTGTTAAAAACCTCCATATTCCGGGTATGTTTATATCGCCATTAAACTGTGTTCTCCTTCATAAGAAGTAAGGCTAGTGAATGCTCTGAGGATCGCGATGCGTAATATACATATATAGATATAAACATATATACATATATAACGAGTAGTAATTGAATGGGCGAACTAAATCTTACAGATCTCGGCTTCGCGGTCCTTGCAGCTCGTCAGGTAAGCGTATTTGGCAATCTTTTGTCTGATCATTCTTTCACTTGAACTTTTGATGTGAATTATGCCACGCAAATCTTATTTGCAGCTTGCGGAATGAACTCGAGAGGAACAACCCTCGAAGAACCATTGCTATGATTCTGTATTAAGTGTTGTGGGTTAGATGAGTCTAACCTCAAACAGCTCGATACTGGAAGCCAATTTTAAGTGTTTTTCAAGGAGTAGTGTACGAATGACCGAACAATATATATATATATATATATATATATATATATATATATATGACAGTTTTGTAAACAACGGTGCTAACTGTGGTCTTCGTAGCTCGGGTAGTATAACTTGTTCAGTTGGTCGCCGAGCTTGGCAATTGTACTGCAAACGTTCCATCACCAATCGAGGTGACATACTCAATGCATTTACCCAGTTACTGCATTAAAAAGGGACGTTCGGGCTATAACCGGGTTGGTGAGTCATTAACAGTTCAGTTAGAGGGTAGGCTAAAAAACTGGTTGTGGTAGTGGTCACCGGATAAATTGGGCACTCTGGTCGTTCGACCCCGTCCAAAGAGTGTATGATCCGATGAATTTGGCACTGATCCCCAATGGACTGCGGACCCGGAACTCCGTCCTGCGTCATGATCACCATAGTACAGCTTACACTGACCGCTGCCAAACTCATAATGCATATAATGTTAGTGATAATTTGTAAGGAAAATATAGGTTGGGCCTATTTTTCGGGATGAGAAAAGAAAGCGAACCTCTATGGTCAAATCCCAAAGTACACAGTCCAAGTGTGCATACACGCGTTTTAAAGCATCCTGGTTCGATAAGAGGTGACAGCATAATCGCTCCTACTATCGGTTTGCTGCCATGACCTTCAGTGTCTCCAACCATGCGGTTACGAAGTCTTTTGAACCCCATCCCGGAAGACGAGGGTGGTGGTGGAGCAGTGGTTTAGTCGCTGTCACCAGCGGGCTTTAGACCCTATGGTCCGAGGTTCGAGTCCCGCCACCCAACTTTGGTGGTAGGCAGCATTTCTGTCGTCCGGTTCAATACGACACCTAACCTATCGGGGACTTATGTGGTTCACCACTCCAAGTCCCGGGGCTTAGGTTACCGGTTTCCATCACTGAACAGCAAGTCCTCGTGACTATGGGATTGTCCCCGTTTGCAATTCATCACACAAAAGTGTGTAATAAAAAAACCGACTCTACTTAATCTCTCAGTGCATTTCTTCATGCCTCAACTCCACGTCATCTGCCGGCCTCCACGTGGCTTTCTCCAGTCTGCAGCGGCCGCTGCAAATAAGGCTCGGTGCAGCGATCGCTCGACATACGCAAAACGTGCCCTAGCCAACGGAGCCTATTGACCTGAATTCGATGCTATAGCGAATTTGGGTTCGATGCATTCCCCGACACTCGACAGCTCACTTCTAGTTTACTAACCCGCTCATTCCATACCACTTGGACCAGATTACGTAGGCATCAATTATCGAAAAAACAAACTGAGCGACGGATGTCTTCTACCTGAAAATTCAAGGTCTCAAACCCGTAAAGCAGAACTGATCATACAGTGGCGCAGTATACTCGACTTTTCAACTTCAGTGAAACGTCACGTTGCCGCCAAAGGTGTTTTGGTCCTACGTACACTGCTCGAACCTTGAAAATGTCGGTGGCTACCCCCTTTGATGCGATACCGTCGTTGGTCACGCAGCTACCCGAGTACGAGCAGCAGTCAAGTTCACCTAATTCCTTACCATCGAGTTTCAGAACGGGACACCCAGTCTTGCAGTATCACTTCGCATTTTGAAGCCAAAGGCTTCGGGTGGGAACCCCGAAGTTATCCCCCTTCCTCGGTCAGGGCAACCGGGAAATGACATATCCGCAAAACCATGAACAGATCCTATACATTTTTTCATATGCTGTGGCACATTTGCCAGTTCTATGTAACTGGTTACGTCTTGAAGTAATTAATAAATAGTATGTATAGATAAATCAAAAACAGCACGGGAGTGTACGGTAAAACACAAGATTTAGTAGTATTTCTTTAAACGATTCTCGGAAATCATCTTTCATATACAGAGGGGCTCCAAAATTTGATCATTGCTTGGTAATTGTACTTTATAAAACATACTGGTCAAGTAATTCATCAACACATCATCAACATACAGTGAGATACCAAGCCATCAAGCTCACAATGTACACAAATTAGATGATAAAGTACAAGATGGAGAGGAGTTGGGCTTAATTGGAGGGCGGAAAAAATGACAAGAATGCCACTACTATCAGTTATTTATCACATCCTTCAGTGTCTCCAACCAGCCAGTTACAGTCTTTTGGATCCCAACCTGGATGACGGGAGACATCTATTCGACCTAAACACTGTGGATTTCTTCACGCCTCGTTTCCACGTCATTTGTTGAGCTCCACGTGGTTTGTTCCAAACTGGAGCCACAACTGCGGTGGGGTAGACCATAACGGGGCATGCGCAGTACATGTCCAAACGTTTGGCTCTAACGCGACAGTAATGATATTGACTCGGGCGGTAGCGAAGCCGCCTACCATTGCATTTTTATGCTCGCAACCGACACTTTTGTCACCATTTTTGTGGTGGTAGACTAATTCAATTTGGATCAATACGACGACTCTGACTGGGGAATTATAGTGTTACCCACGCGATCGCCAGGGCTTTCGTTTCCAACCACCACATTAAGATGAGTTCTGATAGTGTGTTTCATCCTTTCGATCATTCATATTTGAGTATGTAATGAGATCAAACTAACTGCTCCTCATATTTATACGAGCAGTTAACATCAGTACCCAGGTTAGAAAACCGAGCGCGTAAAATGCTTGGATGCGGAGTCCTTATTCTTGATACTCTGCGATCGGGCGACAGTAATCGGTTACGCAGGTTTTCTACCACAGTTGGTTTATGTCGAGTATTAATACGAGACAGCTCATGGAGAAAGGGGGTAACTGTTTATGAATTTTTTCACACTAGTCCAACCGTTGTCGTCGGTAAAACTTTGTGCGAAGAATCTCGATTTATCAACTTACAATCTTTTTTTGTTTTGCTGGTGGACACCGAAAATCAGCAGGGATGTCACATTCAGTTCAGTTCAGTTTTTACAACCACTAACCATGCACTTTCGTGCGCCGGTTTTGGTTGCTGCCTCATGTCAGTCCATCTGGATGAAGGAGTAAAGGGAAGATTGGAATGTTCCAATCAGTGTCAGGGGAAAATTAGAACATCCATGAAGACTAAGGTTGCAACGAAATCGAGAAAATGCACGAGCGCCACTGTTTACGACACTCACGTAATGGAAAATTTTTGTTTAAGAATCTATTTCCACCGGGTTTGGGTTTTGTAATTTTCGACCTAAGGTAAAGACATCATCATTACCATCGTTCAGTGAAATAAAAATGAAGTGAAGTTCACAGATCTCTGCCGAACTTCGATGCATTTGAACCCAGTAATAGTATATAAAGTGGACAGGAATTGGGCCCATTTTGAGATAGGAGGAAAGATGGCGAACCTAGATGTATGCAAACTCCAGTGTATACACAAAGGTGGGTACAAGGCATAAAGAACTGTACGGAGAGATTAGAAAGAATAGGCATCTCTCCTATTCAAGGTAGGGTTCCAAAAGATTAATCAGTTGATTAGAGACACCGGA